ATGTATTTGATATTTTCTCTCCCTTTTCTGAGTTAACAATATAACTAGGATCTGAATATTATTTCTTTATTTTGTCACTTTTAAATAAATCTAAAGAAATGCGGACACTGGTACTTTAGATAGGGCATAAACATTGCCATAAAAGGTAAGTCTTTCAAATGATTAATCTATGCCAACAGGGCACCTGTCATGTCCTGTGCATTTCACAGACTTAGAATCTTTCTTTTGATCAGTGCTCACTTTTGCATCTGATCCTGCCTCCTATAGTATCATGATGATTCCATGATCTTGAAGAGCTTCACGTCATCCGGGGAGTGACAATCAACATGTATGTCAATGTTATATTCATTAGAGGTCTTATCAGTTACTCATTCTATCATTCTCTGCCTATGCAAAAGTTATTTCAGTTTTTGGTGTATGTGTGTTTGACCCTAGGTACTGGTGACATTTTCAGTGTTTGAAATATGGTTTGAAGAACTAAGTGTTGCTGCGTTTGGTTCATTTCATTTCTTTTTTCTTATCTCTGTTAATTGCATTTACTGTCTGATTAGTTCCGCTGCATTTTTTAATCAGAATCTCTTTATATTTCTCTTTTCTCTCTTTACTGAGCTACTTTATCTTGCACTGGATCTGTGTTGATTTTTGTTAATATTATGCCTTACTTTATGTTCCACTGGATCTCTGTGTCATTTCTTTTAATATAATGCCTGTTATTACAAGACTGTCGAGAAATTATCTAAACTTCGGGTGATTGGGCTGTCTTATTCAAAGTCTGGACCAAGAATGTAGAACTTAACATGGGTGGCTGATTATGTGTTTGACAAAAAAAGCTGTGTGAGCGTCTGGTATTGCTCAAAATATATGTGGACTTAGATATACCAGGGTTTAGCTTGAATATTCATGTCTTCTTTCAATGGATGAAAGAAATTGGGTTAAGTGTGCATATGTTTACACTCATATATTCCTTCTGCTTTTGTATGCATGAATCAATGGATTCTTGTTAATCTTGCATCCGTTATAGCTTCATATTTGGGTTTAGAATTGGTGTTTGATTTTACATCAAGTACCATTTTTTAGTTACATTCTATGTAAGGTAGATTTCTTGGCTCATCATTTTCAGGTAGTTAGATTTATTTTATACTCCTTAATGATGTATCAGCTTAAAATCATCTCTGAGGGATTAGGTATTTGGTATTTGCTTGTTGGGGTGTTTTCATGAGATTTCTTTAATGTTATCTCTTTAATTTTTGATTGGTTCATTGAAAATAAATTTGGGGTTAGCTGTCTCTTAAATGATTTTCTTGAACTTTCTTCTGCTCTGGGTAAGTTTTGTAAATGCTGATTTTACCATGAATTTTAAATAGGTTCATTGCATTAAACTTTCCATAAAAACAACCAATCCCAACTGAATCAAGTGAGCCAAAGTAAAGTGCATATTACTTCTCATGTTTTGATTTGTTTTTTCTTTTTAGGTTTTTCCCCTTTGTTCTTCTTGGACTGTATTCAATGCCTCTCGCAAATTAATCATTTGTAACTTCCTCTTACTTTCTATTTTGGAATCTGCCTCAACAGGCTGTCATAAGACTATGAGAGGGCCCATTCTGCTTTCGTCATCTATCAGAGAGATATTTATGGATGAGTCTCTACCAAAGCCCTTTCAGTCCCTCCTGTAGACAAGAGCCTAGAGGAGCTTCAAATTGGCTGGAGAATTCTACTCACAATCTGCGGCAGGCAGAGATTGCAACAGTTGTTTTCTGTAATAAAATGAGACCTCATAAACTCCTTTTTCCTCAGTTTGCCAAGCACCACAAGCTTGCCAATCTAATACCCATCAGTCACTCTCTTTCCCCTGTGCACTTCTCTTCAATTCTGCAATCCATGAAGATTTCCACAGAAAACTCAATTTCCCCTCCACCTGCTGCATCAATAAGCCATGACCTGCTTCTCAGTTCTGTCCAATCTTCTCAGTGGCATTTTATAGAACACCTTTCGCCAAACCTTACACCATCTCTTATCTCAGCCACTATCTTCAGCCTTCTTAAAACCCCTGAGTTGGCCCTTGAATTCATTGCCCATATCAAGTTTCATACAATGGATATCAAAACCCATTGCTTGGCTATTGCGGTAATCTCTCGCCTCCCATCACCAAAACCCACTTTGCAATTGTTGAAGGAAACCATCAGCAATGACATTAGTGTTGGAGTAATTTTCGATGAGTTAACCATTGCACGTAATCAATTAGGTACTAAAAGTAGTATTCTTTTTGATTTATTGATAAGGGGCTATTGTGAGTTGGACAGGGCTGATGAGGCAATTGAGTGCTTTTATAAGATGAAGGAGAAAGCCTTTGCTCCAAAGATTGAGACTTGTAATTCTATGTTGAGTTTGCTCTCAAAATTGAATAGGACAGAGAGCGCGTGGGTTCTCTATGCAGAGATGTTTAGTATGGGGATTAAGTCAACTCTGTATACATTTAATATAATGATTAATGTGTTGTGCAAGGAAGGGAAGTTAAACAAGGCCAAGCAATTTATTGGGATCATGGAGTGTTTGGGAATCAAGCCCAGTTTTGTTACATTTAACACCTTAGTTCATGGGTATTGCTCAAGAGGAAGAGTTGAAGGGGCTCGTTTGATTATCAATGAAATGAAAGCTAAAGGGATCGAACCAGATTTTTACACGTATGGTTCTCTAATTAGTGGGTTGTGTAAAGAAGGAAGGCTTGAGGAGGCTTCAACGACATTTGAGAAGATGAAAGAAAATGGGTTGTCTCCAAACGCTGTGATGTATAATATATTGATTGATGGGTATTGCAACAAAGGGAACTTGGAGTTGGCTTTTCATTATAAGGATGAGATGGTTAAGAAGGACACTATGCCAACTGTTTCAACTTACAACATGTTGATTCATGCATTGTTTATGGAGAGTAAAATGGACAAAGCTGATGGTATGATCAAAGAAATGAAGAGAAAGGAGTAGCTCCCGATTCAGTCACATATACATATTGATAAAATGGATACTGCAGATGTGGGA